TTATTATTATTATTATTATTATTATTATTATTATTATTATTATTATTATTATTATTTATATGCGAAGTTATCTCCAGCTTTGCTGGGTAGTTGGGCTCTCTTCACGTGAGCAAACAATGCTCATTGGTAGAGAGAGTAGAGTGGGTTGAGGCCGGTGTTAACTTGGCTATGAATGGCCAATTTACAGCCGACGATAAGGTTTGCATTAACCGGGGTGAGAACTGTGTCCTAAGACGCCCACCCAGAGGTTGCTTCTCGTCGATGATGGTGGGGTAGGGGTTTAGGTTGTGGGGGAACAAATGAGTATGGATTCTTTGGTTAAGGTTTTCAACTTAAGACTTTCCTCAGTATCCTAGCAGTTCCGAGGATTGCTGCTTTCTGAGCTGTGACAAGAGAGTGCTTCCCAGGGATTTCTTCCTTAAATTTCTTCCATTCTTTCGAGACTGCTCCCGTCGCGCCGATTACGAAGGGTATGACTTTCGTGTTTATTATTATTATTATTATTATTATTATTATTATTATTTATATGCGAAGTTATCTCCAGCTTTGCTGGGTAGTTGGGCTCTCTTCACGTGAGCAAACAATGCTCATTGGTAGAGAGAGTAGAGTGGGTTGAGGCCGGTGTTAACTTGGCTATGAATGGCCAATTTACAGCCGACGATAAGGTTTGCAGTAACCGGGGTGAGAACTGTGTCTTAAGACGCCCACCCAGAGGTTGCTTCTCGTCGATGATGGTGGGGTAGGGGTTTAGGTTGTGAGGGAACAAATGAGTATGGATTCTTTGGTTAAGGTTATTATTATTATTTTAAAAGTTAATAGCTATGAGAGGCGAGTCGCAAGTTCATCGCGAAGCGAAGAGTCGAGGGTCAATTAGCCGTACCGGCTCACTCTGCCCCCTTGAGAAAAATTTGCCGAAGCGATTTCCTTTAAACTTGGTACACGGTTAGCTATTGCCATGAGGAATTGATCAACATTATTCCGATTTGAAAACGTTGCCCAGGACGCCCGCTATAGCGGAAAGTTGTTTCTGCGTATGGCAATTCATTTAAGATACGAAGTTGTTTACGCGCACCGCTCTGAACAGGTTGAATCGTACCGCGTGACGTCACAGGAGCCCCCCTCGTATGCCTCGATCTCGTTCGATCTTTCAACTGTGTGCCTGCCTTGCGAACATTTCCATCCCTTTACTCCTTTCACGTACATAGTATCAGCCTGCCTGCACGTAAGAATCTCCTCACAACTATCTTCCATTTTTAACTGTATGTTTATGTTCCATCCTATGGGCCATCCGCGTCATTGGTCGTATGTTTCTTTGACTTCCTCTCTCTTTTCTTCCTCCTTTATTTTTGATCGATTTTCGTGAAACTCGGTGTTTCGCCCCAAAGACTTCTAACCCCCCCCCCTCCCAAATATTTTGGGGGTCTGAAAATTTGGAAAAAGTAGCGCTCAAGTATTCCGAGAAAAAGTTAGTGGACGGGTGCTCTGGAACACCAGTTACACCAACATAAATGTGGCAGGTTTAAGGTAGGTCATGTATTCATCTTCCAAACTGCACCTTCATGGGTTAAATGACAATCGATTATCCGTCTTATTCTCTTTTTGTTTTTGTTTTCTTTCTGGTGAATTCGTCAGTTGACTGTAACCTTAACTCAGTGTAATGTTTGTGACAAAAAGTATAAGCCACAAGAACAACGAAAACATGTTTTCCCCATGTTTGTCTCGTCTCTTGGAATCCTTACATGAATTCATTAGCTCTCTATCACTTTTACCTCGACTTTTGACCTTGTAATGTGTGTGACTACAGTTTCTAACATCCCTGATCAAAGAAATGCCCCTCTGCTAAGAAAATCACGAAATTCTACAAAAAAAATCTTAGTATCTTCTACTATCACCTCCATTTATTACTCTATACAGGGTTATCCAAAAGTCACCTACCACCCCTGTTACTTTTTTCCTAATTAAGATAGAAGTTTGAAACTTTGGGAATGTTCCTCGGTTTAAGGTAGCAACTTTTTGGTCCCCCCAAAATTTTGGGAGGCGGCCCCCTTAAGGGGGGCGGGGACTAACTTTTTTTTTTTTCGAATGGCAACCCCCCTTTTGTGATACCTCATTCAAAAGCTAATGGAAAAAGAAAATTTTTGGCGCAAACCGCAGGTCAAAATGTTGATCTTTGACAAAATGGCGGCCGGTCAAAGTTCAAAATGGCGGAAATTTGGCATATCCGTTTCTTATCGGCGGATTGGTCTGAAACTCAGAATCCTAGGGTTTTTTGGGACGAGAAAAACGATTCTGGCATTATTTTTCCAGAAATTTCAGTCCTTTTCAAAATGACGGCGGTAAAATGGCGCCTCAGAGCGGGAAGTGGATATTTAGGCTGCTTATCGTCGGATTTGTATGAGACTTGGTATCCGGCGGTATTTCGGCACGAGAAGAAGGAATCTTTCATTGGAATTTTGAAATTTTTAAAAACTTTAAAATGGCGGCAAAAATGCGAATGGCGATGGTGGATGTGGATTTTCCGTTACTTTTCCGCCACCATTTTGACGATATTCAGTGTTTCAAAAATCTAATGAAAGCCAAAAACCACCAGAGTATTGACTTTTGTGCAAATCCGTCGGTAAATAGCCGTGATATGGATTTTCCGTTATTTTTTCGCCTCCATTTTAAAGTTTTTATAAATTTCCAAAATCCAATGAAAGATTCGTTCTTCTCGTGCCAAAATACCCCCGGATACCAAGTCTCATACAAATCCGACGATGCGCAGCCTAAATATCCATTTCCCGCTCTAAGCCGCCATTTTAACCGCTGCCATTTTGAAAAGGACTGAAATTTCTGGAAAACTAATGCCAGAATCGTTTTTTTTGTCCCGAAAAACCTAGGGATTCTGAGTTTCAGACCAATCAGCCGATAAGAAACGGAGATGCCAAATTTCCGCCATTTTGAACTTTGACCGGCCGCCATTTCGTCAAAAATCAACATTTTGACCTGCGGTTTGCGCCAAAAATTTTCTTTTTTATTATTTTTCGAATGAGGTATCACAAAAGGGGGGGTTGCCATTTGAAAAAAAAGTTAGTCCCCGCCCCCCAAAATTTTGGGGGGACCAAAAAGTTGCTACCTTAAACCGAGGAACAGAGCGAATTTAGTATACGCTTAGCAATTAGGGTTAGGAGTTGATCAAAATTATTCCGATCAGAAGACGTTGCCCAGGACGCCCGCTCGTGTGAAAAGCTGTTTCTCCGTATAGTAATGCATTGAAGATACGCGGTTATTTACACGCACCGCACCGAACAGGTTGAATCGTGTCGCGTGACGTCATAGCAGCGCAACGGTGTGTCTTGCGTCATCTTCCGACTGTTCGGCTCCCTCGCGAACTTTACCATCCCTTTACTCCTTTCTCGTGTTATCCTGCCTGCACCTAAGTATCTCATTTTAACCGTCTTCTATTTCGACTATACTAGCCGTAATTAGCGCGCTTTGCGAGCTTACACGCCTAGCCGGGGAGTGCCCCTGGACCCCTAGTTCTTCGCTGCGCGATGAACTTGCGACTCGCTCCGCGAACCGCCCCTTCTTTTTCACAAAATTTCACAGAAATCGATGGTCCAGGAGCTGAGACCGCATTATACAGGGTGAGCGAAAAGTCCCCGACCCCCCCTCTAACTTTTGAACGAATTGAGCTAGGGAAATGAAACTTTGGGGATGTTCCTATCTCAAAGGAGACCATCTTTTGGGGGGGTCAAAATTTTGGTCCCCCCCTCAGGGGGGGACGGGGGCCCCCCAACTTTTTTTTTTCAAATGGCAACCCCTATCTTGTGATACCTCATTCGAAAGAGCATAAAAAACTAAGAATTTTGGCGCAAACCGCAGATCAATATCTCAATTTTTGACCGAGTTATGATAGGTCAAAGGTCAACTTTGACCTTTTTTCAAAAAATCATAACTCCGGTTCAAATTATCGTAAAGGAAAAAATAAAACGGGAAAATTTACCAAATTGTGTCCGCTTTTAAGTAAAAATTGCAAAAATCGCTTCGATTTAATTTTAAGGGGGGGCTCGGACCCCCAAATACGTCAATTCAAAGGTCATTCAAATTTCCCGCGAAAAAAGGCAATTTCCCCTAGATTTGCCTCCACATTATCTCTGTAAGGTCAAAATCAGTTCAACATTACGTTGGCAAGTCCCCAAATTTCGGGAAAAGTTAAAAAAAACGAAATTTAAACGGTCAAATTTAGTTACCTTAAATATCATTTTTTTTTTAACTTTTCCCGAAATTTGGGGACTTGCCAACGTAATGTTGAACTGATTTTGACCTTACAGAGATAATGTGGAGGCAAATCCAGGGGAAATTGGCTTATTTCGCGGGAAAATTGAATGACCTTTGAATTGACGTATTTGGGGGTCCGAGCCCCCCCTTAAAATTAAATCGAAGTGATTTTTGCAATTTTTACTTAAAAGCGGACACAATTTGGTAAATTTTCCCGTTTTATTTTTTCCTTTACGATAATTTGAACCGGAGTTATGATTTTTTGAAAATAGGTCAAAGTTGACCTTTGACCTATCATAACTCGGTCAAAAATTAAGATATTGATCTGCGGTTTGCGCCAAAATTCTTAGTCTTTTATGCTCTTTCGAATGAAGTATCACAAGATAGGGGTTGCCATTTGAAAAAAAAAAGTTGGGGGGCCCCCGTCCCCCCCTGAGGGGGGGACCAAAATTTTGACCCCCCCAAAAGATGGTCCCCTTTGAGATAGGAACATTCCCAAAGTTTCATATCCCTAGCTCAATTCGTTCAAAAGTTAGAGGGGGGGTCGGGGACTTTTCGCTCACCCTGTAGAGCGCAGCCGCCTTCTTGGATTTTCGAATTTTAAAAATCTGACCGAAAATTCGAGTTTCCCGTCGAAAATTTAACCCCTCCCCCTCCCCGAGTTCCAACCCCCCCCTCCCAAATATTTTGGGGGTCTAAAAATTTGGGAAAAGAAGCGCTCAAGTATTCTGAGAAAAAGTTAGTGGACGGGTGCTCTGGAACACCAGTTACACTAACATAAATGTGGCACCCTGTATACAATTATCACAATTTTTTATTTGGACAAAAAAGAGTTTTTAAAATTGTTTGTTTTGTTCTGCGTCCAACGAGTGGTCTATTAAGCTGGGGAATCAAAGGGTTCGAGAGTTATGAACGACTGAAGTTTCCGCTTAACGTACGCCGATTGATTTTAGCGCGCCAAACTATGGTTCCAAAGCCGGATTTGGGTGTTAATGAATAAGGTTGAATTTTCAAACCGTTTAAAATAAATTTTTAGGGATTCTTGAGGTGCGCTGAGTTCAGAAATTACAGATAATTCCAAGAAAACAACTTTTTTAAAACGGCCAACCGGCCGCTCGTCGGGCCTCTGAAGTAGTGCTCCGAAACTGTAATTTTACAAATGTTTAAAGAATTTCAATCGTCCATAACCCTCGAATCCTTAGGTTCCCTAGCTTAATGGACACTCGTTGGATGCAGGAAAAAACGAACACTTTTAAAAAAATGACTTTGGTTCAAATAAAAAATTGAGACCTTTGTACAGGGTATCCTAAAAGTCCGTACTGCCTTGGTAACTTTTGAACGGTTGAAGATAGAAAAATGAAACTTTGGGAACGTTTCTATCTCAAAGGGGACCATCTTTTTGGAGGGTCAAAATTTTTGCCCCTCCATCAGAGGGGGGGGGGGTTGGGGCAACATGTTTTTTTTTCAAATGGCTACCCCTATCTTGTGATACACCATAAGAAATAACTTTAAAAACTAAGAATTTTGGCGCAAACCGCAGATCAATATCATAATTTTTGACCGAGTCATGATATGTCAAAGGTCAAATTTGACCTATTTTCAAAACATCATAACCCCGATTCAAATTATCGTAAAGAAAAATATAAAACGGGAAATTTTACCAAATTGTAAGCGCTTTTAAGTAAATATCACAATAAGGTTTTTAAAGTAAGTTTAAGGGGGGGGGGTTCGGACCCCCAAATACGTCAGTTCGAGGGTCATAGATTTTCCCACGAAATGAGAGAATTATTTCTAACTTTACCTCAACATTACGTCGATAAGTTCAAAATTAGTTCAACATTGCGTTATTAAGTCCCCAAATCTCGGGAAAAATTCAAGAAAACGAAGTCTGAGGTGATAAAATTTGACTGTTTTTTCGTTTTTTAAAATTTTGCTCGAGATTTGGGGACTTGAAAACGCAAT